ATCTGTTGTTTGGCTATCTGTTTTTTTTTTTTTTTTTTAGACATGAGTCTCGCTCTGTCACCCAGGCTTGGGTGCAGTGGCGTGATCTCAGCTCGCCGCAACTCCACCTCCCGGTTCAGCGATTCTCCTGCCTCAGCTCCTGAGTAGCTGGGATTATAGGTGCCCGCCACACACCCAGCTAATTTTTGGTATTTTTTAGTAGAGACGGGTGTTCACCATGTTGGCCAGGATAGTCTCGATCTCCTGACCTTGTAATCCGCCTGCCTCAGCCTTCCAAAGTGTTGGGATTAGAAGCGTGAGCCGCGCACCAGCCTCTTGTAATTTTTTTCTTTCTTTTTTTTTTTTCTGCTTCATAAGGCTTTATTCAATGCAAAAATAATTTACTGAGGTTGGCTGACGCACATTCACAACAGCATACTCTAAATGAAATTCGGTTGCGCTGATCCCAGCTCCCAAGCTCAAGCTTTCTCATTGCACACTAGGACCGACTCCGAAGTGCGTCGGTCAATCTTGTCTGTGTGGTGTCTCTCTGTCGTGTCTCTCTCTGTGGGTATCTCCTTACTGTCTGTGGTTGTCTGCTGTTCTGTGGGTGGTCCTCTGTTCTGTGGGTGCCTCTCCCATCTGTGGGTGTCTTTCCCATCTGTGGGTGTCCTTTCTCTATCTGTGGGGTCCTCTGTCTGTGGGTGTCTCTCTGTGGGTGTCTCTCTCTGTGAGTGTGTCTTGTGTGTGGGTCGTCTGATGGGTGTTTCTCTGCATAGTCTGTGATCTCTGTGAGTGTCTTGTGGGTGTTCTGTGGGTGTCATCTGATTGTGGGTGTTCTCTTCATCTGGTGGTTGTCCCTTGTCTGTGGTGTATCTTGTCTGTGGGTGTCCTGTCTGTGGGGTGTCTGGTCTGTGGCGGTGTCTGTGGGTGTCCCTGTTGTGGTGTCTGGCTGTGGGGTCTGGTGGGTGTCCTGTCTGTGCGGCTGTCGTCTTTGGGTGTCTCTGTCTGGGGTCTACTGTCTGTTGCTGTTTCTGTCGTGTGGGTGTCTCTTCTGTGGGTCTCTGTCTGTGGTGTTCCCTTTTCTCGGTCTGTGGTGGTCTCGCCTGTCTGTGGTATCTCTCCCATCTGTGGGCCTGTCTCTCCCCATCTGTGGGTGTCCTCCCCCATCTGTGTTTCTTCTGTCTGTCCTATTGCCTTGGTATCTGCTTTTCTGTGCGTTATCTCTCCGCCGTCCTGTGTTCCTCTCCTCGTCGTTGGTGTCTGCTCTGCCCCCCCTGTTGGGTGTCTCTCTGCCCTGTGCTGTCTGTTGTTTTCTCTGCGCTTGGTGCCTCTCTGCTGTGTGGGCTTCTCCCTTGTGGGTGTCTCTCCCATCCTGTGGGTTCTCTCCTCATCTTTGTCTCATCTGCATGTGGGTTGTCTTTCTCCTGTTGTGGCGTGTCTCTGTTGGCTTCCCTCTTGTGGTCTTGTCAGGTCAGTCATGCTCCAGATCCTTTAGGCCGCAGCTGCCAGTCTCCAGATGGCTGCTGACAATGGGATAGCAGCCCCCCTCTCAGGGGCAGATGGTGGTAATCACGAGATTCGTGGGGTACCCGGCCGGTGGTGAGGTACCAGTGAAGTGTCTCCAGGCAACTTCCTTCACGGCAGCCTCAAGGACTGAGAGACTGCATGAGCCTTCATGACTGGAAAGTTGGCAGCATTCTCGATTGCCAGCTCTGGGTCTATTAGGCAGGTGGACATCTTCTTTGGCTCACCCATGACTCCGCCGCCTTCCTGTATGAAAAGGATGGATATAGTTATAACAATTGTGTAAGTTGTATGTTCTGTGTTGGTAGTTGTGTTTTGTTCTCAGAAGTACTAAGATGCGTTGGCTCGGCCGAAAACCTTAAATGTATTTTTGAGGCTGTGTTTGAAAATGGGGAGATTTTACACAAAATATCCAGATTTCTGGATTCTTTGAAGAATCAGAAGGTCTGAAGATACTGAGCCTCACATTCCTGCACACACAGCGGCGTGGCTGGAGCCACTGCCTCCATTAGTTTCAGTTTACCACAGACCCCACCCCTCCCTGTTGTCCCTGTCTCCAGACCGCAGAGTCAGTTGCCATTGATCATGTGCCATTTGTTGTTTTTTTCAAAGTAGAGAAGTATTTCTTCACGCTTGTTGTCTCTATCAAAAACGGGCAAGTGAAAGATGTTTCAAGAAATCAAAGAGGATTTTCTTTATAGTAACTACAAATTTCTAGTGTGTTTCTCATATAAATAAAATGTGTCCTGTATGTAGTCAGGGTTCCTCAGAGAAGCCCGAAGCTACAGAACATAGATATAGAGAGAGATTGACTGTGGAGGCTTGGCGAGTCCAAAATCTGCAGGGTAGGGCTGGCAGACTGGGGACTCAGGAGCGCATGGCCGCGGAGTCCTAAGGCGGTGCGCTGTGGAATTCTTGCTCGGGGAAGATCAGTCTTTGTTCTAGTAAAGCCTGCAACTGGTTGGATGCGGTCCACCCACACTGCGGAAGGGAATGTACTCTCCTTCTACTTCACCAGTTTAAATGTTAATCTCATCCAAAAATGCCTTCACAGAAACATCCGGAATAATGTTTGACCACATATCTGGGCACCGTGACCCAGCCAAGTTGACATATTAAATTAACCCTTGTAGTCCCTTTTTAAATTTACACCCATTGCAACTTAGGTCGCTGCTATGGAGCAAGCCACAGAACCTGGCCTCTTCACTCATTTCCCCGGGCTGACCCATTAGGCCTTTGAGTCACCAACACCCACCTCACTAGAGAACAAGCATAAGGAAGAAGCTCTGCTGTGATTCGTCAGTGTTAACACTTTTTTCCTTAAAGATGTCTCATGCCGAGCTTGGTGGCACACGCCTGTAATCCCAGCACTTTGGGAGGCTGAAGTGGGAGGATGGCTTGAGCCCAGGAGTTCAAGACCAGCCTGGGCAACATAGTAAGATTCCATCTCTACAAAAAAGAAAAAAAAAAAGTAGTCTCATAATTATTACAAACCACTATTCCAGATCATGGATAATAATAGTCAGAACAGTTACATTGTTGAAAAAGGAAAAAAACAAAAATGGAAGCAGTCGCTTTCAGCTTTGTAATACTGCAGCAAATGTCATAGTAGACAAGGATTTGTTTAGAGTGGGAGATTAGTGGGATCTCTGCTGACGGGGGTTCTGGCTGTTTAAAAACCACAGAAAGGAACTGGCAGTTTTAGGGGCTAGGTCCCAGCTTTTCAGGACAGTCCTAGGACCCGCAAAGAGCTGCCATCACCGTGCTGTCCTCGGCTGTGGGTCACTGCTGGTAAGGCCTGTCCTACACTGCAGGACGCAGTGGCACAGGCTGAGCGGCTCCCACCAAGGAGGCAGGAGCAGCGGGTGGAGGCGCCGGGGCGGACTGTCCCTCTCCTGGAAATGGAGTGATTTACATTTGGCATCTGTTTGGACCGGAGAGTGGGAATTGGCTTTGTAATTTCTTCTGTCATGCCGCTCTCAGAAAATTAAGCTGTTTACCCGACAGACTATGGAAGGTTAATGGCTCTTCTGGGAAAGGTCAAGTGGTCATTTGCAGGGAGGCTGTGCTGAATAATCGGAAACGGCAGAAGAATAAAGCCTAAAATCGCATCTGACTCCTCCTCCTGGGCTTCCCCCTTTCTTTCCAGCATCCACGGGTTCCTCTTTGTGGCTAGAACATTCACGTCCTAAGTGGGGCTGCCATTGGCTGGGTTAAACCAGTCACAGGAGAAATACATCGCATCTCGTGTGTGTGGAGATGACCAGGCCTTCATATTAAAAAAAATTTTAAGTGCTTATATTTGCTGTGTCTCTAAAAAAATGTTTTCAGGTAACCGTTGGCCTCAAAATGCCTTTTTGTTTTTCTGAATGAATAAGGAATAAAGAAAAATTCTGGGCACTATAAAATCAAGTCCAGATTCAGTTTTTTAAAAAAGAAATGTTAAAAGTTTCTCATTTTGATTTCTGGAAGTTCGTGTTCTCCTTAGACTCTAAAGATTAGCATGCAAAGACAAGGTTTTGATTGTGTATTTTAAGTTGCACGTTCAGTTTTTTAAAAATCCCATCCAGGACTAAATTTAAACATAAGAAAATCCAGGTTTCTTTCACTTTAGAAGAGGCTGCAGGGAACATGAGGCCAGCAGAAGTGGCGCGCGTGGGTCCCCTTGGGAGGTTTTGCCAGATGATGGGAGGTGCTTGCTCCCGTCCACCCAATCTCCAGCTCCTCCAGCTGGCCCCAGGGTCGCTGAGGGACAGGGGTCTGGGCCCAGAAGCCCCCAGAATCCTCAGCTCCAAACAGAGCTGTACCTGTCACAATGGAGTAGTTGTGCTGATTTCAGGTTTTCTTTTGTTGCTGCGTAAGCATTTCCCATGTGGGGCACTTTCTTTCCTCCGTTACTTCCACACATCACTTCCTTAGGGAGGCCCTGCCTACCCACCTCCATGCCCTCCTTCTCCTGGCACAGGTGGGCAGGAGGGGACGAGGGTCGTGGCCTTCGAGGGCCTGCAGAGGGCCTTGCTTGTGGTGGCGTGGCCACTCTGGTCCTCAGCAGGGTGCTCAGCAGATTCCAAGGTGTTCCTGGGACCTGGACCTCCCCTTCATTCCTTTTAACTTAGTCTCAGCTTTCCATGCCTCTCCTCCCTCCCTGTCCCCAGCCCGTCCCCCGCCCTGTTCAAGCAGACTGCCCATCACCTGGGTCCTGCCCTTGAGAATTTTTCTGTGGGCTTCTGTGCCTCCCCACCAGACTGTGAGTCCCTGGGGAGCAGGCCTGGGGCTGGGAGTGTCCCCGAGTCCTGCAAAGGGCTGTGGAGCATCTGGGATCGTTAATGCCAAGGGGGGCAAAGGTAACCTGGGCCATTTGCAGCAGCAGCCAGTGGAGGCCCCCGAACCTAGTGTCCCCTCACCATTTCCTGAGAACTCTGGACCCCACCAGGGTCCAGAAAATCAGGAAATCATCAGACCAAAGTAGCTGATTGTCCAACTGGGAAAAGAAAAGGCAGTACTTTTTTAGGCCATGTAAATGCAAAATATACGTTTGAAGTCTGCGTCTAAGACATGAACTTAGAGATTCTAAGCCTGTTTTTGGGGGTCACTGTAAAAGGGAGAGCATTTTCAGGTCCCCTCTCTGTGAGCCTGTTCACAGCATCCCAGCCAGCCTGTATCCCTGTGTCGTGACCCCAGAGCACAGAGCCTCAGAGGCTGTGGAACAGGCCTGGGGTTCATGTGGAGAGTCCCAAGCCCACGTCACGACGGGAGATGCCCACACCTTCAACAAACAGACTCCAAGCTCCAAAGATGCCTAACAGGGGAGTGCTAAGGGACCAGCCCTGGCAAGGCCCAGGTTTGGCTGAAGCCGGTACCTGCAGCCCAGCTTGTAAGTTTAGCTGGGAAGCGTCTGAGGCAGGCAGTGGAGGATGCCCAGGGGTGAGCGGGTCATCCAACAGGAGTGGCCGGGTGGCTTGTACAGCTTCGAGGCGTCAGGCCGGGCAGAAAGGGACAGGCAGAGTCCCCGGGAGTGGCGAAGCTGGAGGAAGCGCACAGACCCAGGGCAGCTCCCGGGGAGCTCAGTTCACACACCCCAGGTGGTCATATAACACATTTCAACCCCCCAAATTGAACAGGACCGTGTTCATTTTTTCCTTCCCTCAGCTTTTATTGCCTGTGTCAGCCTGGGTGAGCGGTTATTTATAATAATATTCTCCTATCTCATCGGGGCAGCTTCTGCATGCAAGGTACCAAGTTAATAACTCTGCATGCGTTATTTTGTTCAAGCTTCACAGCAATCCGTGAGGAAGGTATTGTTTGTTGTTCGTTTTGCCCATTTTACAGATTAGGAAACAGGCCCACAGGCGTAAGCACCCCAAAGTCACACCGTTAGAAGGCAGCGAGATCTGAATGCTGAAGTCAGCATGCGCTCTTCTTCCCTCTCGTTCTCTGCATACGTGCTTTCTCCACGGCTCCCAAATCCGAAGGGCATGGCAGGAGGAGAGGGAAACTGATGTGATGGTGGATGGCAAAACATTTCAGTGGTTCCAAGAATCAAGCCCCCTTGCGTATTCTTGGATTTCAGTGAATTGCATCTTCAGAGCAGTGCAGGTTAAACCACTTTCTCCCCTCGTTGTAGTCAGTTGACTTTGTTCAGCCAGAGCTGGGTCTGGCCCGCCATGTGTCTGGACTGTGGGTGTCTTGAGGCTCAGTGAGACGCCATCGTAGGGTGGGCTAGGCCGGGCTGCAACCAGCCACCAAGCCAGCACTGGGCTCAAAGAGCAGTGGGGCCATTTTGAAAAAGGAATGCTCCCTCATGCAGAGCCTGTCTCCACCTCCGTGACACAGGGGAGAAAATAGTTGTCTTCTCATAAAAACATCTGGCGCCCGTGAAACCTGGCACCTCGCTTGACCTCCGGCTAATAGGGGATGCAGCAGGGTGCTGTGGAACTAATGGAGTTCCCTTCTTCAGCCAGCAATTAGGGGTTAATTATTAGCAATTAGGGGTTCGCCACATGCCCTGTGGACCTGCTGTTCCTTCCCAGGACACAGGTCACTTGTCATTCTCTGTGTTAGCAACTGGAACCATCTGCCCTCCGGGTCCCCTATTAATCATTGCAGCAGGGTCCCCAGGAGGCTGACAGCAGGGGCACGTTCTGTGTGACCCATGGCGTTCCTGGAGCTGCTGGCTGCTGCGCTCTCCCTGCTGGGTGTGGCGGCCGCCACCGGGCTCTGTGGTGCTGGTCCCCTGCGGTCATTCTCAGCGTGGTGCCTGGACCGCCCCTTAGCCCCGGCTTGGCTCTGCAGCCAGCAGGACAGGCCCGGTGCTCAGCTCCCAATGCTTAGCATCCTGCACTGAGCTCCTCGTGCTCAGCTTCCTGTGCTCAGCACCCCGTGCTCCCTTCTGTTCTCTCCTAGGCGTTACTACAAGGAGACCTCTGGCCTGATGCTGGATGTTGGTCCCTACATGAAGGCGCTTGAGGTACCAGCCCTGGTTCTGTCCCAAGCTCTCTTCAGACCTCAGGGCACCTGGGACTTTTTGGGTCTTTCTTGGGAAGAGACTGTGCTTAATTAACGTATGAATGGCCTTTTGTGTTTCCACAAAGGCTGCCCTCCTATTCCGGGCTCCCCTGGCCGGCCCTCGCTGTCCTCGCTGTCCTCCCTCCCCATCTCTCCCTCCCCGTCCTCCAGTGGGCACAGCCCCCCTCCCGCCGTGGACCCTGCCGCTCTCCCAGCTGCTCTCTGCCACGCTCTTCTTGGGCTTGTGGCTTCTGTGTCGGTGCTGACCACCGGTCTCGTTCCTGACCCTGGGCATCTGCAGCACCTCAAGCTTGACGGGTCCTCACTGGCCTCCTTCCTGACTTCCCTTCAGTTTCCAAGAGCATCTGTGGCCAGGCCTCTGGGAGGGGTTCCCCCAGGTCCACTCTGGCCCAGGTCCCATCAGCCACCCCAGGTCAGCCTCATATCCCATCCCATCCTCACAGCTGTAGCAGCTCCTGCCTGCTTGCCGTCAGGTGGGAGGGAGAGGCAGAGGAGCAGATGGAGCCCCGGGCTTGACCCAGGAGGCCTGTGATGAGCTGGGAGTGGGCAGGGGAGAAGAGGGGAGAAGAAGGGGAGAAGGGATGAGAGGACGGAATTGCAGGTGAGTGAGCAGAGCACTGCTCTGCTGGCCCTTGGGAACCCTGTAGTTTTGCCAGCTCTTGGATGCCTTCTGCCGTGGGTAGGCCTTTGAGTGAATGGCAGGGTGCCTGGTGCTAGATGACCTGAGTGACCCGAGCAGCCCTTTCTGGAGTTGTGAGGCTCCTGCCTGTGAGATGTGTTCTCAGGCCCACAGCATCCTGCTTCTTCAAGGCCCTTGACTCCTGGGGGCACATTTGGGACAGGGTTTCCGTGGCTGGACATATACCTGTTCCTTGATCCCAAACCCATGCCATATCCCTCTCTCTTTTCCCCAGTACGCCTGTGGCATCAAAGCCGAGGTAGTGGGGAAGCCTTCTCCTGAGTTTTTCAAGTCTGCCCTGCAAGCCATAGGAGTGGAAGCCCACCAGGTAGGTTGGCGCCTTGTGAAGTGGGTCGGGGGAGACAGCCCCGTCAGGGAGGCCCTGGAGTTTGGAATGGATTGCAGGACTCAGGCAGCCTGTGGGGTTGGCCGGGCAGCCAAGCGTGGGCTCCCTGTGAGAGCTGACCTGGCTGGGAAGGAGGGGGAAGGCAGCGAATGAAATCCACTGAATAGTTTCAACAGTGAAGTTACTTTCAATGTGAAAGCAAGAAGCAGAAATGCCTACGGCTTTTCCTGAGTTTTTGCTGCTTCTCTGAAAGGATAAGAATTGACGAGTCCTATCAGTGTATTAATATATCTCGCTGACAAGACAGTGTAACAGCAAGATTACAACAATATGGAAGAAATAATAAAGTCACTCATTTTGCGACCTTTATATTTTGACTATTTTTGGGATAGATTGGTGGACGAGGTGGTGCATGCCTGGTAATCCCAGCTACTCAGGAAGCTGAGGGATGAGAATTGCTTGAACCTGGGAGGCAGAAGTTGCAGTGAGCTGAGATCACGCCACTGCACTCCAGCCTGGGTGATAGAGCGAGACTTCTTCTCAAAAAAAAAAAAAAAAAAAAAAAAAAAAAAAAAAGGAAAGGAAAGAGTCCACAGCTGCCCCAGGCTGTCCTGCTGCCTCTTTGGAAGTGAGCAGCAGAAGTATGGGTTGGGGGTCCCCCAGGTGTCAAGCCTGGTGCGTGTTTCCCCTGTGTACATTTCAGTCCGGAACACTGGTGCCTCATGGTGCTTTGAGTCTAGACACTGTACCTTCACCTGCCCTGAGATCCATAGAGATGTCAGAAGATGCAGGCTCCCTGGAGTCCCCAGAAAACACCTGGGAAATGTCATGTTAGTCTGTTAGAGAAGGAGAGGTTTGTGTTTTGAAAGAATGAGAACTGCAGCAATAAATAACCTGGCTTTTTACTACCTTGCTTCATAGAGCAGAATTTCTTTATTTTGAGAGATTTCAAACATACAGAAAAATAGAGAGAACGATACACATCCCCATTATATCCATCACCCAGATTCAGTGGTTAAGATTTTGCCACGTTCCTTTCTTCTTTCCTCTTTTTTTTCCTTTTAAAAAATTTACCGGCTGGGTGCGGTGGCCCACGCCTGTAATCCTAGCACTTTGGGAGGCTGAGGCAGGTGGACCACATGAGGTCAGGAGTTCAAGACCAGCCTGACCAACATGGTGAAATCCTGTCTCTACTAAAATATAAAAATTAGCTGGGTGTGGTGGTATGCTCCTGTAATCCCAGCTACTCAGGAGGCTGAGGCAGGAGAATTGCTTGAGCCCAGGAGGTGGAGGTTGCAGTGAGCCGAAATTGCACCACTGCACTCCAGCCTGGGCAACAGAGTGAGACTCCATGTCCAAGTAATAGTAATAATAATAATAATAAATTTACTTTTTTTTGCTGTCACATTTTAAAGCAAATCTCAATTGTATCCTTTCATATTGTAGCATGACATTAAAAAAATGGTGATTTTTAGACATAACTACAATACATTAAAACCCCTAACATGGCCAAAAGGCACACAAAAAGATACTCAATATCATCATTCATCAGGAAATGCAGATCAAAACCCCAATGAGATACCACTTCACACTAATTAAGATGACTGTATAGTTAAAAAAAAAAAGAAAATAACAAGTGTTGCCAAGGATGTAGACAAATTGGAACCCTTATCTATTGCTGGTAGGAAGGTGAAATGACAATGTTGCCACAGAAAGCCACTTTGTGGTTCCTCAAAGTTAAACATAGAATTTGCCATATGACTCAGCAACCCATTTCCAGGTCTATACCCAGAAGAACTGAAACAGGTGTAGCAAACAAAAACTTATACACAAATATTCATAGCAGCTCCGTATACAATAGCCAAAAGGTAGAAAAAACCAAGATGCCTGCCCATCAACTGATGAAAGGATAACCAAATGTGGTGTGTCCATACAGTGGAATATTATTCAGCCATAAAGAGGAATGAAGTTCTGACACATGTTACAATGTAGATGAACCCTGGTAACATTATGCTAAGTGAAGGAAGCCAAACACGAAAGGACACATATTGTATCCTTCCATGTATAGCAAATGTCTAGAATGGGCTAATCCATAGAAATGAAAAGCAGATTAGTGGTTGCCAGGAGTCAGGGTTGCATGGCAATGGGGAGTGCTGCTTCAGGGTATGCGGTCTCCTTTTGGGGTGATACAAATATTCTGGAACTGGGCTGGGCATGGTGGCTCACACCTGTAATCACAGCACTTTGGGAGGCTGAGGAGGGCAAATCACTTGAGGTCAAGAGTTCGAGACCAGCCTGGCCAACATGGTGAAACCCTGACTCTACTAAAAATACAAATGTGAGCCAGGCGTGGTGGTGCACGCCTGTAATCCCAGCCACTTGGGAGGCTGAGGCGGGAGAATTGCTTGAACCTAGGAGGTGGAGATTGCAGTGAGCTGAGATCGCGCCACTGAACTCCAGACTGGGCAACAGAGCCAGACTCTGTCTTAAAAAAAAAAAAAAAAGAGAAAACAAATATTCTGGAACTGGACAGTGGTGATGGTTGCACAACGTTCTGAATGTGCTCAATGCCAGTGAACTGAATACTCTGGTCACAGTCATAAATTTTATGTAGTGTGTATTTCACCACAATAAAAATTTTAAGACCACCTAAAAAATTAACAGTGATTTTTGTTAGTATTATTTAATACCAACCCATATTTAAATTTCCTTGACTGTCTCAGAAATGCTCTTTGACCGTTGATCTGTCGGAATCCAGTCTGAAGAAGCTCCGTGACTCGTGTGAGGTTTTTGTTTCCTCAGCCTCTCTTCTTAGCCTTCCATCATGGAACATTTGAAATGTCTATGTCAGTAGAGAGGGCAGCTCAGGGAACTCCTAGGTACCCATCACTGTGCTTTAATAATTATCAACTAATAACCCTTTAAAATTGTTTTCAACTTTTCATTTTGAAGTAACTTGACACTCACAAAAAGTTGCAAACATAGTACAAAACGTTCACCTGTGCCCTTCACCAGCTTCCCCATCATCCATCAAACGATGATAAAACCAGGAAATCAACACTGGCACAAGGCTGTTAGTTAACCTAGAGACCTTATTCAGACACCATCAGTCATCCCACTCATGGCTTTCTGGGGACACATTGCATGTAGCAGTCATGTCCCTAGTGTCCTTTATCTGTGAACTCTGATCACCAGTTGAGGAGGTGTCTTCCAGAGTTCTCCATTGTCGTTACAATTTGTCCCTTTTTTTTGAGCAGGAGTCTCACTCTGTTGCCCAGGCTGGAGTGCAATGGCCCAATCTTGGCTCACTGCAAGCTCCACTTCCCAGGTTCAAGTGATTCTTCTGCCTCAGCCTCCTGAGTAGCTGGGATTACAGGCACCCGCCACCAAGCCTGGCTAATTTTTGTATTTTTAGTAGAGATGGGGTTTCTCCATGTTGGCCAAACTTGTCTTGAACTCCTGACCTCAGGTGATCTGCCTGCCTTGGCCTCCCAAAGTGCTGGGATTACCAGTGTGAGCCACTGCGCCTGGCCTTAATAAGTGTCTTGTGGGAAAGTACTTTGACACTATGTAAATATTCTCTTTCTGATCATTAGTTCTAATTTTGGCATCTCTTGATAATTTTTTTTTTTTTTTTTTTTTTTTTGAGATGTAGTTTCGCTCTTGTTGCCCAGGCTGGAGTGCAATGGTGCCTCAGCTCACCACAACCCCCGCCTCCTGGGTTCAAGCAATTCTTCTGCCTCAGCCTCCTGAGTAGCTGGGATTACAGGCATGTGCCACCATGCTCAGTTAATTTTGTGTTTTTAGTAGAGACGGGGTTTCTCCATGCTGGTTAGGCTGGTCTCGAACTCTCAACCTCAGTGATCTGCCCGCCTCGGCCTCCCAAAGTGCTAGGATTACAGGCGTGAGCCACTGCGTCCGGACTTCATTGGTGTATTTTATGTGTGGCCCAAGACATTTCTTCTTCCATTATGGCCCAGGGAAGCCAAAAGATGGGACACCCCTGCTCTAGAGGTTTATGACCAAAATACTGTATTTAAAGCTGCTAGGAATAATTCTTTTTTGTGGGTGGTATTCCACCAAGTGGACGCTCTTTGAATTCATTTTCATTTTGATGTTTAGGGAATTGGTTTAACATTTACATTTGTTTTGCACTTATGTAAAATATTTATATGGTTCTAAAATCAGATCCACAAAGCAAGACATATTCAAGGAAGTCTAACTTCTGTTCTTTTCCTTCTATTTTGTTTTTACCTGTCTCTTGTAGGTAGCCATGTTTATAAATATCTTAGCTGTAAATATTTTATAAATATTACAGATTTTTTTTTATTTAAAAAATAAGCAACTATGTATATATTTGTATTCCCCTCATAGGATGAATTTAAGAGACAATAAATTCTCAAAATAATTTGCTTTATATATAGAGAGAAAGGCTAATGCTTTCATCTGAGTTTAAAAATCAATATTTAAAAGTTTATAAGTAGGCCGGGCATGGTGGCTCACACCTGTCATCCCAGCACTTTAGGAGGCCAAGGAGGGCAGATCACCTGAGGTCAGGAGTTCGAGACCAGCCTGGCCAGCATGGTGAAACCCCATCTCTACTACAAATACAAAAATTAGCCGGGCATGGCAGCAGGTGCCTGTAATCCCAGCTACTGAGGAAGCCGAGGCCAGAGAATCACTTGAACCCAGGAGGCGGAGGTTACAGTGAGTCGAGATCATGCCACTGCACTCCAGCCTGGATGACAGAGTGAGACTCTGTCTCAAAAAATAATGTAAGTGGTATGATCACAACCATCTCAAACAGCCCCCTTCCCCCAACCCAAAACCCAACAAAAACAAAACCCTGCCACTGCCCGGAAAATAAGACCTGGCCGTGCGCAGCGGCTCATGCCTGGAATCCCAGCACTTTGGGAGGCCGAGGTGGGCAGATCACTAGAGCCCAGAAATTTGAGACTAGCCTGGGCAACATGGCAAAACCC